GAGCTGTGATCTGTCATTCAGCCGACGAGTCCAAACCCAACCCCAAACCCAAACCCAAACCCAAACCCAAACCCAAACCCAACCCCAACCCCAACCCCAACCCCAAACCCAAACCCTAACAAGTAACTCTGTTATTTCCAACAACATTGATCTTCACAAATATTTTCATTTACATTTTTCATGGTTCTGCAAAGGCTTAATTGAAATACTTTTATAGCATATTACAGAAATATTTTAATTTATTATATTAATTCCCAAGAGTAAATAAATTTAAAAAACAGAGAAATAAGATAGTTGTTATGATTCAATAGAGAATCTGAAGTTGATATTTTGCTTTTTTAAAAATTGAATCTTAAAATGAAATAGGTTAAAATAAGTGAAGAGTAATAGATTGATATTTAACTCTTTTATTGTATATAAAAACATTCTTTTGTATGAATATAAAATTTAATGCAAATAATATTAATTTTACAGTAAAAATAAATTTAAGGATTACATTTTTAATGGATATTTTGCAAAACAAGTAATCATACAAGGAAATATTTACTTTCTAATGGAAAATATTACAATTAAAATTATAATATCCCACAAACTTAAGAGCAGTGACACACCAATATTGCAATTCTGGGAGGGGCTTTCTATACTCCAAGATATGTCATTTTATGTATATTACATCCCAAAAAGAGTATAATATTCCTTAGTCCTGTTAGATATGGAGTAATTTCTTCTCTTAAGCTATTTTCTGGAGTACTTGAGTTTTTTGAAACAGCTAAATTATATTGCTTTAAACCTCTTCTACATTTATATTCATCTTATCTTTGAGGTAAAGAAAGATATTAGAATCAGACATAATTTCATCCAAATCAATGACTGGCCTTTCTATCTTGATATATTAAAACGCATTATTGGTTTCAGATGGTATATATTTGCTCCTGATACAAGTTATTATATGTAAATGAATCGAAATCAACTAATTCTCTCCTTCATTCTTTTTACAAATAGCTCTTATTAAATGTTCGATTTAAGTTTTTCTATTAAGAGCTCTTATTTATTATAACTAGAATCTCATTTCTTGATTCGAAGCATATTAAGACGATATGATATGTAAAATTATTTAATCCTGAAACACCATCTAATCTCAAATTACTTTTTAGGTAATCTCTTTAGTATGAGAAACGAATAAGACAGATTTAATTAATTATTTTTGATTTTAAAGAAGGAAATTGATTTTCTGCTTCTCTTTTCAAATATTAAGTAAATGAGTTAATTATCAATTTATGATTGTATTGAGGGAAGGTTATTTGCATTTATCACTTATTAAGATTAAAAAGTTGAATTATGAATGGGTGCTTAATTTTCTTATACAGCAATTCTTTAAGGCCTAGGACACGCCTTTTGTACTAATGAGAAAATTAAAAAGGATTCGAACATTAAAGTTCGATAATCCTGAGATTGGCAAAATTGATTAAAACTCCTTAATTGAGATCTAATCACAGTAAATTAAAATTACTAAAACTTGAAGTAATATTAGAAATACTATTATTAAGAAAATTAATAACTATTAAAGTCAGAACATGATACTATAATATTTCTTATTTATTGACGCTAAAAAGAGTATAGGAAATAGAAATAATTAAAATCACAGTAATATAATTTAAGGATTCCCAAATATCATTTTCATATAGACATATATTTTACCTGATTTAATTAACAGCTGATATATTTGCTAGCGCAAATTAATACTGGTGGCAACACTTGCGAGAAATCTTGACCTCGATTTTTCCTTCTTTGGAAATGGATGAAAAATTGTGTCTAAAACTACAATCCTGACTCCATACTGTGAATCAACTAAGGATTAAGGGTTTTGTGACTCTGCAGAAGCATATAGTTGTTATTCTTCGTTTACATATTGATCTTTTATTGGCATATCAATCATGTTCAAACTTTGATTGATGTCTTTTGACATCATGTTTTGAGGATTTAAAACTACTTATCCACGTTTAGCAAGCAATTATTATGTAGTTAATCCCAAATTTGTTGCAAACTTCTGATCTATTACATGTACTTTTTGCCCTTATTGCTGCTGCCTAATACTATTTTTGTGACTTATATGTAATTATTGAATAGAAGTAATTGCACGGAATTTTCAAAATAACTTATATGTTTATAATATGTAGGATATAAAAATATACCAACTGAAAATACAGGAATTTTGAATCTTGATTATTAGTAACATCACAAAAAAAATTGCCTATTGTAATTAAGAAGCTTGCTCGAATAATAGGTAATAGTTTACACATCCTTTTTTGATTCATGTAACAAGAGTCCCAGTTAATTCACTGCCCCACATGGAGGCTCCCATCTCAACCATTAGTTTTTAATAGCAAGACTAAATCATATAAATGATTAAATTGCAACGGTATAATTAAATGTAAAAGACTAGAATATGATTATTTACATAAAAAAATTATTAATTTATAAAAACTTACAAGCTAATATCTCTTGTGGACCGATCATTCATTAATATTATGTATATTGCACTATTTTTTAAGCATTCCTAAAAAGTTTTAACTGTTTAAAATAAGCAGGCAAGTGAGTTCATTACTTTGATTTCTTATTTTTCAATACCCAACTTATGCTCTAAATACCATACTGATGGAGATAAATAAATGCAATCTATATAACTCTTTTAAACAAACACATCGCAATCCATATTGCCTTCAATTCTAAACTGCATCACTTGTGAAGGTTCTGATATTTAGTTGCGGCTGAACTAATATTTGTGAGTATTTAGTTAAGCAACAAAAAAATTTCTACTTGTTTTTAATCCTTCAACAATATGTGCATCTCGGAAATCTTAAGCTGCAAGTAAATATGAAAGGTTCCTTTATTGAAATTATGATACCGAATTAGATGACCTGCATAAGATGGGGAACTTGAGTAAATTATTATATATAATAATGTTTTGCTAATTCCAAATAAGCTTTGATAGGCTATTAAAAGATTGTCTACTGAACTTTAATAATCGTAACAATAAACCTTTATATTGTTATTATAACAACAGTTTTCTTTCAATGCTTAAATGACAAACATGATGCTAATTATGATAATGTTTGCAATTAGCAAGCTAATCATGCTGATTGTGGATATGGTTTTTGATAACGGGGTCGCAAAATTGTAAACAAATTCAACTCTTGGTTGTCCCAAGTATCTATCTGTGATACTTGTTAATTGACATCTTGTAATGTTGTTTTTGAATATCCTATACTAGTAATAAATCACTTTTGTATATAAAATTCTCATTAGTATTTAAATACTTCAACACTGAATTGTTATTTGGTTTATGTTGTGATTTTTTTTGCTCCATCCTATGCCATACCTGCCATCACAGTTGTAGAATGTTTAGCAACGATTATTAAGTCGTTCTATTTCTTAGGACATAATAAAAACCCTTGTGCATCTCAGTTTTTATTATGAGTGTGATTCAGCATTTTAGTTTATTATAGCCATGTCCTTAATGTATTTCTAGCTATTTCTTTTAGTCAACATCATTTAAATCTTCAAAAAGTGGAGTAGCTATGCTAACCTAACTATTGGTTGTATTTTACGTGCCTTCCTACTACCATTAAGAATTTAGCCTAAAAGCTCCTACTTGTACATTATACTCTAGAGGTTAAATTCAGAGCATAGCGTTCGTCAACATTCAATCAACACTTGAGCAATTCTACAACCGCTACTATTTATTTTAATTTCAAGGATAAACAACAAAGTATACCAAAATAGAATATAGTAGCTTTGTCTTTGGTATTGGTACTGTAAATACTGATGCTATTGGTTCTTCTGAAGGGAAAATTTTATAGTTCTTAAGGTAAAATTAATTCCTTTAGCTGTGCTGGGTGCATTCTACTATTAACATTATGTTACTGGGTCTGAGTGAGTGGCAATCTTCCTTCCACTTTGCTCGATTAAGATATTATCTTTTTTGCTTAATTCGCTTTTCTATTAAATCTCACCCATGTAAGTTGCTGGTTCTTAAATTATGTTATGTAATAAATCAATTCCTTTCTATCCTTAATTTAAATACCATCTATTGTAGAGTTTGTGGACGTTTACTTTATGCTAGCATTTCTGACCTCAAGAAGTTTCCAAAAAATAAGTAAACTTTGGCTTCTTATTTAAACCTCTTTATTCTACCTTTAATCTTTCAAGTTTCAAATGTTTTGAAAGTTATGCACTCAACTTCTGCTGCTTTAGAAAACCTTGAACTATTTTTCGTTTATCTAATATTAGCACTACATATTTCTATTGCGAATCTCGAAGTTATGATCAACAGACATGCTCCTAAACATAAATATTATTGATTTACAGCTTTTTGCTAACATTTTTAAGATTTTAGCCCTTAACCCGATAATTTAGTGGCTATTTCAGAGAGTATGTAATTTTACAATGTTTCTGGTGCAAGTGCATTTCTAGGAACTATAGTTTGTAATGCCCTCACTTACTCTAGTGGGAATTGCAAAGTTTATTAATCCACTTAAAGCACTTCTAGCGCCTAATGTTGAAAACATACTTGAAGCCCAAATCATAAGGAATTTATGAATATAAAATTTTTTTCGCCATTAAATGTGTTAATTGTTAAATCCTAATTATGCGCTCATATATTTGCCATAGTGATTGAGAAGCGTTTTAGATTGCATACTTAGTTTACAAAGAGTTTCTTCTCTAAATTTGAAGTTGGATGCATTTGTTGAGACTACGGATAATGGGATGTTGATTACAATTAAATTGAAGTAGTTGGTGTTTGGTCTTACTTCTAAAATTTATCTTTCCTGCATGTTGTTTCAAGGTAAATTGTTATTTTTTTGTAGGAATGTGAATAAAATATTACTAAGTAGAACGATACTTGAGCCACACTTGTATGTGTTATTAATAAGAGCGCTAAGCCATTTTTCAATATTTTACACTGACACTTTTTCTTGCTTATTGAGTTTGAAACTATATAATCTAGGATACCACTTTGTCTAACACAAAACTCGATGCTTCTTTTAAAAATTTTTAATTGCTTCCTTATAGTTTGCAAAATTTCTGTATAATTATTCAACAACCTCCCTAATATTCCGCTGATTGTAAGTGCAGCTGAATTAAATGTTTCTAATTTTAATAAATGTTGCAGGTTCTATCAGACATCAGATCTAAAATGTTCGTTGCACCTTATCCTCGTATTGTTTATGTCAATTATAGCTGATTATAGTATTGCCTTTTGGATATCATCAAACAGAAATGCAATCACAGACTTGTAACGATTGTCTTTAGTGAAAATATTGCATAATGGCTTTAAAAAAGTAATTACATGATTTTAATCTATGAATTGTAAATTTGCGTTTCTGATCCAATTTTTATAGTTTGGCTTTTTATATTCTTAATCGAGGCAATTTTGGTCAAATTAATTAAGAATAGCTAGCTATATACAGACCGACAAATTGGTGGAGTGAAGGTTTCCTCAATTTTAATACTTGAAATTCTTCTTTCAAAAAGTGACTATAAAGATGTTGGAAATTATTCATTAAAATTGCTCTAGTCTTATATTGTGGAGGAATTCTCAAAAGAATGACAAATATTAAATACTTTTGTTTGAAACTTTTCATATGATTGTCCCCATTCTCGCAGACTTTTCAATTACTATCAACACTATTACCTTTGGTGTAAGGACTAAGACTAAGCACCGTTTTGGAGTATTAAAACTCAAGTTCTCTAATAAAGTATTTGCCTAATTAGAGCATTTGATTTTGCATAACCTAGATACATATATGCAGAGGTCTTGATGATAAATGATAGCAGGCAGCTCCAGAAATTTGAATAAGCATTCCTCTTGTAGCGCTCATTTAAAATTCGCAATTAGTGTTAAGCTAAAATAGCATCTCTGGACTGAATCGCATTTTATATAAGATTTTTCAAAATCTCAGATAAAAGATTCGTTCATTCAATAAGAGAAGTGAGCCTGGATAGCTATCCAAGCAGAATATTATCTTCTTTGACCAATACATTATTAAAAAATACTTTTAACAATCATCAAACTGAAGTTATACAAAATAGTAACCATATAAAATCTAATCTAACTTTTCTCAACTTCCTTACATTCTAACTTCTAAATTGACGACCTATTTCACATTAGTAATACAAAATTAAATTCAAGCATGAAATCCTCATGGAATCTAATCACATACTTCCGCAATCCGAATATATAATACTTTAGCAGCGAACATAAGTTTGCTTGAATAAGAGCAAATTGCTAGATTATAAAGTAGCATAAATCTGACTTCTACAACCAGAGCCTCTAAATTGATTTTGATTTCCAGAATAAAAATGAGCTGTAACCATATTCAAACTCACAAAGAAGTCAATTCATAAAATTAAGAACCTATGGTGTGAGAATACCAGCCGTACCAAATATATATTAATAGTACATAATCGGTTTCTTCCCACCTCTAGAGTGGAATTATGACACCAGAAAATTTCAAAAACAATATACACCTCAATATGACAAGTTCCATTGTTAAAAGGCCTCTTTCTCTGGGCCAATAAATTACAGATCAGAATTATCTTCATTATTTGGCTTGATTATGTTGATAATACCTTTGTTTAATAGTAGTAAATTGAGCATATGCATTTTAGCCCAACAATTTCAATTAAGATTAGTTATATATATTTATTCCTAATCAAGCTGAGATAACTATTTCTTTCTTCTTTTTCAACTGTAACATCGCTACAATCATTAGATTTCACACCTCCAAAACTAAATAGCCTCTATTCTTTTTGATGCAAGAACTATTGCCCTAATACCAATTTTAAATAAACTTTAGGGTAAGTATTTATTGTTTTTATGAATTTTTTGCTAGTAACAATTATCAATAGAATTTAAAAATATATTTAGCATGGAGAACATTCCATCTTATTGATCAACCAATACTTGAGATAAGTTTCATACAGAACAGAATTTCTCTTCATCTAAAAATGAGAATTAAGGCCACTTTTGTGAAAATCCTTTAATGAGCATAGTACAACTTAACTATAAAAAATAACCAATCTAAACTTATGAGTAAGATAATTAATAATAGGTGGTGATGGATACTTTGGAAGATATACTCTTAAACAAAGGAGAAACTAAATTGTGCTTTAAAGCTAAAAAGGAAACCCAAATAAATGTTATTTTTGTTTAGAATAAAATCATTGAGACAGAAATCCCCTAATAGAGATAATATTAAGAACAAAAAATAAATCGAAATAGTTAACTCTCCCCCTTTTATATAAAACCTGCTCCAAACCACAACTATAGCAGGTAATATCCTGAATACATAAAGAGAATAAACTTTTTGCCTAAAGGTGAGGGAACTTAAAAAGAGAATAATGAACTCAAGAAGAACCAGGAGTAGAAGGAGGAAAGAAATAAACTTAAGGATTTTGTGAATGAAATTCAATTTGAAAGTAAGGAGGCGGATATTAATGAATTATAATAGATAATTCTAGCCAAAGAAGATATCGTTAAGTCACTAGAAGAATAAAAGAATATGAAATATTCTGGAAATTAAGTTAGATTGAGTGATCAAGATAAAATAATTATGTTAGATAGGAAATTTACTTATTTTTAAGGCTACCTAACGAACAGAAGTAAATATTAAACCTTGCAAAGTTCAATATTGGAGATTAAAATTTTTAATGTAACCAATGACTTTGAGTTAAGCCTAATTAAATAATATACATAAGAGATGCAGGAGAGATATGCTTTTTATATTAATTATGATGAAGGAGTCTATGGGAATCCTCTGAAAATGAACCTAAGTACAACAGATACTCGATAATTTTTAAGTGATTTTATCTGGAGTAAAAATATAATGATTAAAATATTAAGGTGCTAGACAATGGTAGTCCAACATGGAAAAGGAAACCATATAAGTAAGTTAAGGATCGTGTGGGAGTGGGTGATCTAATATTTTTAACTCTCCATCATGTGGTAAGCAATTAATTAAGGCCATTAGGCCTCTGTACTGTCCAAAGTATCTTCATTATAAAGGGTAGTCTGATCTATTCCTCAGTCTTCAATTTGGAATTTGCATATTTCTCAGGATTAGGATATTATTGCGATAATTAATAATTTTCTATGTTTAAATACGCTAGATACCCAGAGGATGGAGAGGATGGTTATTAAAATGTGGATATAATCAAAGTAACAGAAACCCAGATTTGCGGAGTTTATTTATGATGGTTATTGTTTGTGGGTTTTTTCTATCAAGCCTTCGGTTAGTCTAACGTGTTACATTATCTATTTTATGGGCTTTATGAAAAGAGGCAACAGTACACAGTATTGTAATATAGGCTACTTTGAAAGCAAATCATTTCAATGATTATATTCATCATTTTTCAGGTTAACATCCTTAAATACAGGATTAGCAAACATTTGTTATTAGAAAAATACTTAGAATAACTACTCAGCTTGTAACAGATGGCGTGTATCAAAATTACAACTTGACGTATATTAACGAAGTAAATTGGACACGTGATAGGCAACTTCAATACTTGTTGTACTAGTTTAATGCTTAGAATACAATTAGAGCATTCACTAAATTTCTGAAGTAATACATGTTTTGCTAATTTAATTTAATGTGCTGATATTATCATAAAATCAGGAGAGAAACTAAAACAACATATATTGCATTTATTCTACATGCAACTAAAAGATATTGCAAGATAAACATGTATAATAATATTAGTAGGATAGGCAACGCTATTTCTACATGTGGGATACCTCAACCAATAGAATAAGATGATATAAATTACTCACTTCTTCCATTATTGCATACAAATGTCATGCAATATGTTGTAATTTGACTGCACTATTGGAATCTAAAGTATATCCTCAAGTATACAAAAATCAGAGACTAAATATTTTGTTCTAATGAGAGTAGCGATACTGGGCATTAAATATTACTTTTGAGGTTTTTGAGAAAAATTTTGTTTATCATAAAAACATATAGTTATGCATTGTTTTGCGCTGCTTAACAGGTCATTTCTGTAATTTGATCGTATAACATGGATAGAGGCAGCACTTAAAATTAGCTGCAGTCAAAACAAGTCTGACAGAATTGTTACAGCAAAATAAAGATAGAATCACTCATCAAAAGTGGAACAACTGCTAGATCTCAGAAAAAGTTCATGGGCAAACAGAATAGAAAAATTGGGCAAATTAATGCTATTTCTGTAATAGTAGGCAGTGTATTGATTATGCAATAGCTAAAACACAATGTTTAACACTGCCAAAATTGTTTCTAATAAATTGCATGTCACTTGATAATAACATTAACATGTAGCACTAGATTAGGTGAAGCAGAGCACAAGGAAAAAAGTTGACTGATGTCTTATTAGTTTTGGATGCAGAAAATACTTGAGTAAAATTAGAAGCTTCTCAAAAACTTAGCTTATAGCTAGATAGCAGCAATTATTTGGGCTTTTTCAAACCTAAGCCAGATAAGACTACTGAATGTCAGATAATCAGTATTAGGGTTTGCTCTTTAGCTACCATTTTTAAAATGGTAAATAATGCCGCTTATGTAGAATTATTCCTTATAAATTGTATGTATAATGCTCTATTCAACTTTTTCATTTTTTTCTTATTTTGAGGATAGCTTTATTGTTCGATAAAATCTTTATACATAAAATTAATTGGGTCAACTACCAATTATGTAACATTCTGAAAAAGTTTGTTGAATTTAGACACAGTCACAATATTCATTATTTAATTTAGAAGTAGCGATATCAATCAAAATATGAGTATATGAAGATGGACAAAGTATGATAAATGAAATCTACAAAGGCACAACAGTATGCGAAAACCAATTTAAGATTTTATAGTTGTGTTTGGTGATATTTATTAGAATTGCCTCTGATGAATTATATGCCAATGATTATGTTGAATGATTCTTCATCAAATGGTGCTCCAAATGTAATTTTTCTTGAATCATTACTAATTGTTCTAACTTATACAACAATTCGCGAATTAATTATTAAAATATGACCACAACCTAAATTATAATTTCTAAAAAATTAACATCAGGTAAAATACTTGCCTGTTTTAAATTCTTCTGAATCTTTTAAGAATACCTCTAACGAGTGTCATTGTCTTGCTTGTATAAAGTATTTTCAAACCTTTATTTGCCCTTCTGCAACACAATAACAGCCATGTTCGCATTTAATGGCCAAAAGCAGGGTTACCTTGTTGGAATTCACATGTCTACACTTATTGCATTTAAGGCTTTTAAAAATAATCCTTGGACTCAGCTTCTTATTTTCAGCCGGATGCAACTTTTATAATATCAATTTCAAATCTTGTAGTTCACTGTCCATCACCTGAAATGATATCCAAACAATAAATGTCGAACGTTACATTCTGTGCGATATCTGCGCTTAAAACAACTAAATGTCACTATAGTAATTGAATTTTTTATCCTATGAAATGCACAACATTGATTAGGCATCTACTAATTTCCAAAACAGATAAACCTCTACCCATTTTGTATGTCTGAAAATTATTTGTGAGATCTATATAATCCTTGAAGCAAGGACGATTTATTAAACCTCTAAAACATCCACAATCCTTTTTGAAATTCTTCTTATAAGGAGTTACAAAGTTATAATATTATGTGTTGTTGAGTTCTCATCTTGTGATTATTCTATATGTTAAGCACAAATATCGGTTTCGATTAATAATGTGAGTTTCTTCAAGGATTTTTTAATTTGTATACCATCTGTACCTTTCAAAGATATTTAGAAATTATTCCTAAATAAATTTGAGCCTATATTCTGTTCACATAATTCAAATACAGGTTGGCATTGTTGCTTTCTCAAATCATAGTGATCATATTTTTGTGCCATTGATGCAATTCCTCATACAAACAACATTTTAATAAAAGTCCTGCAAAGTTATTTAACTTTAAATGATGACTCTAATTCTATATCATAGCAATTTTTAAGAACTTTGTATGGCCTTACCTATGTTGATGACTTACTAAAGATTGTTTTGATGGATACATTAACCGTCCTAACAATCTTAAATATCTATCCTTACAATATATTCTCTAGCATTCTTGACATTTGCTTGATATAATCAGATGTATTATCTAAAGATTATACACCATGCAGTTCTTTATACCTCTCTAGGTTCACTATTTGAAATTTGTTAAACTGCAAAATCTATTTAAGATATATTTTCTAACCCAACCATTAAATAAAATTGAATTTATGAAGATAAGAAGAATGTTAGATTTATAGACTTTATGTAATTTGATGTAAAACTAAAATCTTTCAACCTAGATAATAATCATAATATTTAAATCAATATTATTGATAAGGGTAACCAAAGATTTCTCTCGAGCCATTTAGATTGTGACGCATGCTATTTATGTATACATACTTTCACTAAATGCTCTTCTTATGAGAATAACTTAGGGCATGTTATTGGATATTCTAGCTGCATGTTTAGCCCAATAATAATATATGGAGTTCATCCTATCATACTTTATAGCAGATAAATAATAGCATTGCCTAACATGTGCTTTCTAAATAAATGCAAATTTAAGCCCTGTGTCACTGAAATCATCTGGATAACTGACATTGTAAACTTATTTGTTCACTATCTACCTTCATTGTAGAATATCTTAAAATGATCAGAATCTCTTATGATTACTATGAAGCCATGATATTACCCTTGAGCCACAATCATTTGTGAGAACTGTACACACAAAGTTTCCTTTGTTTTATTAAATTATAAAAGGATTCACCTTGTAGTTTTATAAGTTGGAAACGCATATTTTACCTAATTCAATTGACTACTGATCTCTTCTGTTTTTCAGTTTCAATAAAAATATCTTCATATTCGGTTAGTACAACTAACTTGCACCACTCTCTTGAACTCAATTAATTGTGTCTAAAATTGCAATAATAACTCCACAATATGAAAACAAATAAGGATTTATTGTTGTTGTCATGGTAATTGTGATATGCTCTGCTTAAAGTCAGGTTACAATTTTTTTCTACTTGTATTAAGAACCAGATTCTTCCTTTACAGAGTTTTATCTCATAATTTTATTGCTGGGTTCTACGTTGATAGGCTGCATTTTTTTGGAATGTCTTCCGATCATAATGTTCAAGATCTCTTTGCGACGCAATATTAATCTAATACCTATTATAGACCCATTAACCATTTATATTATGAATATAGCATTATTTTTTATATACCCCACCAAACTTTGTACTGTTGTAAAATAAGCAATTAATCATTGCATTATGTCATTTAAATTTAGCATCATTCATTTCTACCAATTCTTGCTTATTTCTGGATATAATACCCTTATTGTTGCTTACTTGTTTAACCTTTCAGTGTAAAGCTTGTATATCGCATATAATCAGGTTAACCAAATTACAATCTTTACTGAAATGCTTATATAACAGTGAAGTTTGTGTAACTTCTAACTCTAATTCGAATTCAAGTCCCAGAAATATTATAAGTTAATCACTTATATAATGGAATTTTTCCACATAACTTAAATACCTATAGACCTTGGCTCTTTCTTGAGTACAACTCTAGAAATTGATTGTAGTTTATCAAGTGCTCTTAATATCTCTTAGATAATCCTAAACGTATCTCTCCTTTATAATTTAATGTTTATGGAAATGAATTGAAAGCTCTATCAATGCATATCAAGCATAAGTGGCTACTACTTCTCATCTTTATGTAAAGGTTTCTTTTCTTGCATGAATGAAACAATGCATAATTGAGTTACAACGAAGTATATTTACTAGAATCATTTGTTTGCAACCTGTAATAAATATGCTGGCATATACTTGCTGAAGATCTGCCAACTATTTGAATGTAAACTCCATATATATCTCCCCTATTGCTGATTGTGATTATTTCAACTTTTTCTTCTTTGTGCATTAGATGTTAATGCGACATAAGGAACTCAATGTTTTTATTATTTGCGCTGCATGTAAGACATCAAGATGTCTTTATGTAATTCAAAATACTTGTAAGCTATGTCAAGAATATATTATATAACCTCATATTACTTCTGCACAAGACTGGAAGTGAATGAAGTGGTATATGTTACTATCAAAGCACTTACAATAAACTCTTTGTCTCAAATTAATGCTGTTGGTTACTAATGTCAAAGGGTTGTTGCCTCTTGCCTCAATACCTGGCAATCTTAATCAATATTCATGATCTCTTTAGGACAATAGTGATACTCGCGCGAACAACTACTTGTGAAGCCAACTATTCATTTATCTAATTGACGTCATGTAGGTGAGCGATATTATTGTGAATCATTTTTACTCTTTGGTGTACAAGCTATATTTTATTATTCTTATTAAAGTCAATAGGTATCTGATGTCAATTATTTTTTACTATTTATTTATTCTAATTATTGGACTTGAGATACTAAAACTTATGATTAAGATTTGAGCACGCCTGATTCTTTTGCTGCAAAATCAGACTCATATCTTGTAAACAGAATTAGACTCTTCTGTAAATTATCAATAATGGGAACCAATCTTAAACATGTTCTTAAGCTCACTTTAATTCTACAGCACAATAATCCTTTCTTATGCTTCCTTACTCGTAATGTCTAATTAGATTCTTCTGGACAGTGCAAAGCATAAAATTATACTGTGACTAATTCATAATTGTTAAGATGAACTCCATAAGATTTTCTAGCAAATCCTAAACATTGGTTTAGACTGCTCATCAACCTGTATATCATGTATAAATGGTTTCCTTTTCCCTAAATTTTATTTATTATAGGTTAGGCTGATAATTTAGAAAGAAATGTAGTTATTGTGATGCTGGTACTGTCTTCATATTTAATATATATGTTATACATATGAGCTATATTATAGATAGCAATTTAGAGCTTAGTGTTTCTTTTCATTCCTTCTAATAAATTAAAGGGTACTATTAAAATCTAGGTTCAAGGAGGATGTAACATACCTATTATACCACTACAGGGGTATCATATAATATAGAATATTTCATTACATGAATATCTAAACAACGGCTGTAAAATTTAGAATCAGTATAGTTGGATTTTGGTCCTAACTTTTGGAACTTATTAACTTTCTTTTACAATCGCCTATGCTAAAACAAAATCATTATTGGATACTGTGAGTCAATTAAATCTAATTCTTATAGAGTTGAATTAACTGATTATATGACTCTATGTGTATTTAATAATGCTAAATTGTGCTCAACCTACATTGCCTCAAAGTTTCTGGATATAATTATGAAGATAATTTTAATGTTTAGTGTGTCAATTTGGCTGACTATAGCAGCTGCTACTTTTATCTAAGTATTCTCTTATAACATGGCCACGTTGATATTGCTCTTATCAATCTTTTAATTGACTAAACGTAGTTATTTTAATGATTGATTCATATTTAATGATGTTGATAAGTTCTCTCAAATTCAGCCAAAAATCTTAATTAACAACTGACTCCTTGAGAATTGTGTTAGCTTATGAAAAGGAGACACCACACTATTGACACTGAATTTGATATTGGCCAATCTACAATTTGAGAGACAAAACAACAATCTTTAATTCCATTTGTTATAACTGGCAATATGTTTGGATATCCTAAGTTTAATTTATAAGTATATGAGTATAGTTTTTATTAGCCTATTATCTGGCTCTATCGCCCCCCAAATTGTTTTATGCTGGTCAATTGTGCTCTAATAGAAAAATATTATGAGAACATCTAAATGTATTGTGTCACACTAAGCCTCACTTAATGAGCATTCTTATTGAAGTTGTTGAAGTTTCCAAGGGAAGATAGAATTAAAGCAAATTTATTCTGATGCTGACGTATTACTAAAAGTAAGGTTAACGATATTATTAAAGCACACTTATCTGTATTTCGTATTTATAATTCTTGGCCATGAATATAAATTAATGTCCTTCATCCTTTTTTTTTTGGGTAAATCTTAGGTCTTAACTTATGACTATTTGGGATCTGACATTATTTGCAAATTAATCCTTTATTTTAAGCAATGTTCTTAAATCTCCTGAGTTATTGCGACTATACGTAGTAATTATATGCTATTTTTTTAGATTGTTCCCAATTATTGTGACTTTATTTCATTTCTTCATCTTATGGCAATCCATTCATATCCACCTTTACAAAATGTTCTTGTGATCAGCTACTGTGGATCTTTAACACTTTCGTATCAACATTTGTTAAATTTATTTTTGGATTGAGGAGCAATATCAAGAATACAATGTGTATGCTGTCGTTTTAACTTGATGAGGGTATTATATAATGATCCCTTAAGTGTGCTGATCAGTAGAAGTTGTTAAAAAATATAGACCTTATTTTTAATTCTACAGAATGGATTTAAATTTTTAATGAGCACTTTTCGATTCTGCCAATACTGCTTAAGGCAGCATAATTTGTTTTTAGTTCTTAAAAATATAGATCGGCATTCAACAACTTTTTGTTAAGTATATCCAATACATCCCAACTTTATTCATTCTCAATGCTCTAGAAAAGTCTAGGATTGCTGCACATAATATTTCCATCTCTCTTGAAGTCAATATCCAAGTTACCTCTTGTAAAATTTAAACTTTTGTATCACAACTTTTATTCTAAGCTTGTTTACTCTCTATGCATTTTCCTTTTGTTCAATGTACTTCTTCTAATTCAAGCCTTCATAAATAATGCTTACAGTTATATTATGAAAATGCTCCACATGGGGTTTCTATCTAAGTGACACAAAGTGCCTTGGCATAATTTTAATTCTAAATCTGGATAAAATCTGTCATTTTATAATTTTAATAAACTGTAACTTTTCTTCTCTGCCTCTCCTTATATCTATTATCTCGTGGGATACAGAATAGCAAATTAATCTACTGACTGCATTTCTTGCTAATTTTGAATACAAATCACATATATATATATCTTTTTTAACTCCATATGAAAAAAACAATAAAACATTTTCTGGATGTATGATAAGCAAGTTCATTATTAATCAGAATATCAAGTAGCCAATAATTTAATAATATTTACCCTATAAGCAAATATACATAAGCTAAATATATTATCGAGCTGAGCTGCGCATTAAGATAAATATTTAAGAAATAATTATAATGCATGAGGCAAATATTAATTCATAAAGAGTTATAGTTAACCATACATTAAGGTTTTTAGGGATATAGATAGAATAAATTAAATTATTATTGACTTTTCTTCCCAGCATATCTCCATTTTTGCTATGTCTTGAGTTATTCTACATAAAATTATATTAAGAAAGCTTAGAGTAGGAAAGCCACATTATTGAACAAGAAATTTGTTTGAAATGGTTGCAACGTTATTTACAAAATGCTTTATAAGTTATAAGTTAAGGAAGGATGTGTACATAATATTCGTTCATAAATAAGAATAAGAATCTTCGAAATAGTAGTTTAAACTATCTTTGAATAAATATTTATTCGAAAAGAGTGGATGTC